AAAGTTTTTCAGAAGTCACGATAATAATTTGAAAGAGTTCCTACAAATTACAAGTTGATTTTCTCGGCCTATTATATAGACGTTTGTTTAAAACATCTATACATTTCTGTAAGAGTCATATCGATAGTCTTTGTTGGAGAGACTTTGTTAAAGAATTTGTATGTCCGAGTGTAAACAACTACAGTACTTCGCTTATTTAAAACAACATTTGGAGATCGTCAGAATGTAAAAACATTAGCAATTACCATGAAATAAGATTGTCAGCAATACAATTAATGTAAATGCTGGCTGTTGTATAGTATATTAATTAAACAAAATCTCAGCATCTCTTTCATAGTCTACAGCTACGCATGTATGAACTGCTTTCTAAAAGACATTTTTTACATATTTCCTAAATTCTATCTCAGATATTCTCATAATTTTTCTTCGTTTACCTCTAGATTAATTTACTCTTTCCATTAGTCAATTTATTGAAAAATAATGATGTTCAAACTCATTAAAAATAATTAAATTCGTATTGCACTAACTGCAAATATCCGTATGCTGAGTGGTGCTGTACAATGTCTTTACGGTAACCGGAAGTTGTATAAAAAAGTTCCGGTTATTGTTTTATTGTCAACCTTAAATAATATTTAAGTTATATATTTACATACTACAGTTGTCCAATATATTAGAAGTTCAGTTTAGGCTGTCTAAAGTGTTGGTTTCAAAAGAGCCATATAAAAGACAGTCCTTGCTGACATTAAAATATAATTTGATAAAGTTATTATAAGTGATAGTTTAATCTTTTTTTTGTCTTCTTCTTTAATTCATAGTATAAATCTATATATATTGCGAAATGACTGTTAGAAGACTAATACTTAATGTACAAAAGAATAGATCGAATAAATAAAAGACCTCATATATATTGTGATGAATTATCATTGATTATTGAGTAAACTAAAAAATCATTAACATAGAGTAAAAAATAAATTCTAAAAATGTAATTATCCAATGAGACGTAATTTTCAGTATAAAATAATAATAAGAACACTTTAAATAATTTACTGTATTATTCATTTCTCTCAAAAGTATATAACTATTTTAAATCGTAACAATCAGAAATTCAATAACAATTTATATGCCTCTTTTTAGCCAATACACAAGATAAACTGTTAGATTTTGATATTGAGACAAATGTAAACACTTTCTTGCCATAGAAGAGTGTTTCTAGGTTTCAATTTTTAGAATTTAGCAATATTTGATACCTAATTCTAAAATATTATTCTCTTTTATCGAAAGCAACATACTGTTGTATGGAAATATTCTCTTTACATTTCTTTTGTCAATGTATTAAACAGAACATTAAAAAAAAAGACTTCCTCTTTTGATACTTATATCTATTCACTTCATTTAATAGTTGCAAGAATTATTGAAACAATTTTCTCGATCTTCTTTCCTCTCAGGTTATCCTAATTTTAAAGACGAGGATTTAGAGATGTGTTTTCGAATTAATCTGCGCTAATTATAGGATTATTTCAAGTTAATGAGCTAGGGATTGTTTGTTCTAAAAATCTTTCTGCATCCTTCGTAAAGTTGATGTTTTGACATCTGTACTAGATAACTGTGTTTATAAAAAACATTGGACATTAGCATCCAAAAATGGTGTACAAAACATATGGAAAAATTTCGCCTTCTATTTCGTCACAGCGTTTATGATTTTTTCAGCACCTGTTTGTGACTTGAATCCAGATTCATGGCTTTTTCTGAAGCTTTACTGTATGACATATCACTAATTTGTAGGCCTACTATGACGCATCTACAACCAATTCTTGAGACAAGCACAAGCGGAACATATTTTAAGTCGTGCGAATATTTATATTCAAATCTCATCAGTAAGATGTGAAATTATTGCATCTATGAAATTATAACCATAATATATATAAATGTTGTTTAAATTAGTATCAACATCACAATATCTATGTGCGATATTCACTGTATGGAAACTAAATATATACTGTGTATATGTGCGTGTGTGTATATGCATAATAAAATATTTATAAACATAAAGGGAAGTATATAAATATACACACATAAGCATATATATATATATATATATATATATCAGTGTACACTAAAAGTTTGTATATATATTTTTTTCTATTATTAGATAGAAAAGTTGACAACATAACAGCAATTTATTATGAACAGCAAATATACTTAGAGATAGAAATTTCTACGATGCTTATTTTTATATATAATTCTTTTTTAAACTTAAAAATATGAAAAAATTATATATGACTAAAAATATTTCATTAAACACTTTACTGCTTTTCCTTGATTAGCAATATAATCAAGTCTCGTTAGTATTGATTTGATCATCACTAAACCTATTATTGCAAGTTCAGTCTAAGCTTTCAGGGGTATCAATCATAGCTTTACTTAAATTATCCATTTACTATACGAGTCTAGTACAGACTCCTCAGATAATTTCTAAAAAGTTTTTTCTGAAGAGTTTGCTGATCACCATAAAAAAATTGAGCATTTGTTTTTGTGCAAATCCTTCTATAGTTAAGGCTCTGGGAATTGATTCTTCCTGCTTCGATGGATGGCATAATCTGGAGTTACTCTTCCATTAAGAGGAATTCTACTCCAAATTATTAAACCACCTCTTTTTGAAAGCCTCAGTAAAAATATCTATTTTTCTAATCCTAGTTATGCCTAGCTAACAAGTCCCTCCCATCTAAGTTGAATCTCTTTCTATCAATGAATAAATTCTTTGCAATAGTTATGTTACAGGAGAACCACAGAAGCTTTTCCCTACTTAATTGGTTCTCTTCATAGTCATAAAGATGATTTAGAAAAAGTAAATCAATGGCATTGTCTGAATTAATCTTTAATGTTATCTTTTTAGCAGAATAGCCTGGTGAGTAGGAGTTTTCACCATCTTCTCCCATGTCAAATTTGTTCCATAAACTAATCTGCACTAATTAACTCACCTAAGATAGAGAATAAGATGATGTCTATAATCCGTTTTTCATCTTTTCATATTGTAAAATAAGTTTTTAAGTGGATCAAAAAATACGAGTACTCAAATAGTTTCTTCTTCCCTATTGTAAATTATAAGTGTATATCTAAAAATCATTTATCTTACAACAGGAAAATGTTATTCACAAAATGTCATGAAATTTTCGTCTAAATTACGATATGCCAAATTATAATAAAATATTTTCTCATGACCAGATTAACTAGTAATTTTTTCTCAATTTTTACAAACGAAAAAGAAATACTTTAAAATAATTCACCGCTGCATTCAATTAGTAGTTTGTCATCCAATAAAATTACAAGTAAAACTAGTATTTGATTGAAAAAAGCCCAAGGTATTTAACTTTGTACCATGTTTTAATTGCTGTTTTTCGTAAAATTTCCCAACCGCATGAAATGTGATTTTGCCTTCTCTTTCTTAATTTATAAGGATTTAATAATGAGATTAAATGCATCTAACTCATTTGACTGAGTATTACTTTCTTTCGAGGAACTTCCTTATTTTTTGGTGTATGAACCCAAATTGCAAGTTTTTTACTGGAAGACTTCGTACATTATGGATTTATTCTTTAACAATTTTTCTAAAAAATGATTATTTTAATTGTATGTGTGCAAAATCTAAGTTTATTTGTTCGAGTAATCAATAAGAACTCCAGTAACTGTATCTAAGTACCTTGAAAGATGTAAGAAAAATATTACCGTCTTGATGAATATATATACATATCGATTTCTATTGGTTTGAAAAAATATTTCTTATTATCTCTTCGTTTTTCGTTAAAAGCAACCAATTAAAAAACCTTTTATGTGAATTGTCTGCGTAACAGATTTTCATTATTTCATCTCTTTTCAGGTCAATTTTTGACTATGATAGAAACGCCGACAAAAGCGAGATCATAATTAATCCTAAAAAATCTACTTGTGGTTACATAACATGTAAAAGATCTGGTGAAAGACTGACGAACTGCGAGTACGTTAGATGTCGTCTAAGTCGCCAAAAACGCTGGAAGTATACAAACCGTATGTTACTGTGTATAAATGAACATTGTTCTGGAAACGATAGAGAGTACTTTGCTTGCGTTTATCGCAATTGCATAACATCTCAATAAAAAGAAACACAAAGAAAAAAAGAGAATCCTCTATTGAAAAAAAAAAACGAAAAAAGAGATAGAAAAAAACTTATGAATTTTTTCTGTTTTTCTGTTCTATTTTTAATGTTGTAGTATAAAAAAAAAAAGAAAGAAAAATTTGATCGTCGGTTTTGACTTTTACTTTTTTTCTTGTAAATATGCACGAAAAAAAACGTTATGCTGATGAATACCTGGAGAATGACATAATAAATGGCACGGCAACTATGTAATTGCTATGAGAAAATAATAATATATAACACTTTTTTATCACAAAAAGATACAAATATTAAAAATTTACAATAATAAAAATAATAAGACAACTATTGCACATTCTTTTCGGAAAATTGACTAGTTTAATAATAATTACTTAACTAATTGCTATTTCAGACGAATGTTATATAATATATGTAGTAAATATAGTGGACGATGAAATGGGAAAGTCATATATATATATATATTTATATACTGTATATATATATACCACTTATATATAGCATATATACAGTATATAAATTTATATATATAAAATATATATAAATTTGTATTTATATATATAAATGTATATATATACATATACAGGATATAAATTCCATATACCTTACTACAAGAAGAACTCTTTAATATTTATTATCCTCCAAGTAGCATTTGGGTTTAAAGTATAGGTAAAAAATAAAATAATAATTGTCAATAAAAGCAAATCATTAATAACTAACAACATGAACTTTATCTAATTTCAAAGTATCATAATACTATGTAAAACTGTTCTTTTTAATAATCAGGTCCAATAGCTATGCTTTTTAAGTGTACTTTATGTTCAGATGAGTATACATAATTGAAGGAGAATCCAAATAGATATCTATATAAATATATGTATTAGTATATTCATATACAGTATATACAGTGTGGTGAGCAACATATAAAACATTTCTTGTATACAAATAAAAACATACTGTAAAATAAATACTCCTTAATAATCCTTTTGTTAAGCGTAGAGCTTGGGCTTGGATTTTTTATATCCTTTTCTCTTATTAATATTAATAAAACCTCTCAAATGGACTATTTATAAACATCTAAAGTCTATTTTTAGTTTATTGAATTCATACTCCTTCATAATTAAATAATTTGGTGAATACATATGTATATACAACATTCTGCTTAAGCAATATTAATGTGGTTAATAGGGAAAAGTTGCTTTATAAGTCATAGTTTTGAAGTAAGATTGTGTCTTCTGACTTTTCGAGATTCTGTTATTCTAATTAAATTGTTTAATCAAATTGAAAATGTAAATTTTATTCAGATTAAATTGAAGAGCTAATTAAGAAAAGTATGCGTTTTGAACGAAAAAATTTCTCAATATAAAGATATTTCAAGATTTCCTTTTACTAAAAGTTGTCAGAATGAGTCAATTCCATACTTGAAAATAGGAAAAAAAGAATACAATGATAAAGATTTTACCTAAATAGTTCAATGATCTGGACCGCCATTAAGTTGAAAAGTTCACTATTTATCCATCCGTTGTTAATCCGCTTTGAAATAAATTCTAAAATAGTCACAAAATTTTCATAGTGGTATCTAATTATTAAGTTTATATCAGTAAGACATCTCCCTAGAAAGGGATCGTGATCTGATTAGGGTACCTGATCTACTCCTCTCATAACCCAATTGAGGTAATCGACCTTCTAAATCATTTGGGTAAGAATGTAAAGACTGCATTTGAGTACCGGTTGAATATTTACGGGCTTGATTCTGAGATCTTCTATCTAATAGAACTGGCTGAATATCGGAAAATACTCTGTTAAAATTGTTTTCTCTATTTGACAATTCCATTTTATATCTAGCAACTTCATTTCTTAATTTATCTATCTCATCATCCTCATTACCGTTAAAATAAGAATTTCTTCGATCATTCGTTTGTTGACTTTGTTTCTTTAGAAGCAGTTGCTTTTTTACTCTTTTAAGATCGTTTTCCAGTTGTTTGACTTTGGCTAACAATTGCTGTTTAGATTTTTCGTTATCGACTAAGCAATTTCTATATTTTTCGTTTTCTCTTCTTAATTGATCGATCAGTCTTTGTAAATCTAATCGATCTCTCTCAGAACTTTGTTGTGAATCTCTTAATTCCTTTTCCAAAATTGAAATTCGACCTTTTAGCTTTTCATTCTTTGCCGTAATTTCTTCGCATTTCCCCTGATTCTTTCTTAAGTCTTCTGTTTTCAATTCTTTCAACTTTTCAACATGACTTTCAGCTTTATTTAGTAATACTTTTATCTCATTACACTCGTTTCTTCTTTCAGAAGCTAATACTTCTAAATCATTAATCTTTTCTTCTAACTCTTTATTTCTAATATTTAAAAATTTAACAGCTTCTTCGTTTACTTCTTGTTTCTTCCTGTCTTGTTTTAATTCTTTTGCAAATTGTAACTCCTGATATTTGGTCTTGTAAACGCTTATTCTTTCATCAGATTCTCTGAGAACCCTATTAATTTCTTCTTCGTAAGCTTCTTTTGTCGCCTCTAGTTCAACTTCCCTCTCATGGTTTCTCGTGAATAGCATATGAATCACTTGAGTTAGCTCTGCTACTTTTTTACACATCCGGAATTCGAATGGTCTTTTATGTAGAGCAGCCATACTCTGTACATGAAAATTTTAAATAAAATATAATTTTGTCACTTACTTTTAAAAATTTCTTGGCTAACTTACATTAAACACAATATCGTGATATTGATTTAATCTCCTAGACATGGTTGAAAACATGTAAAATATTAATAAATTTTCGTCCGTAAAGATAAGTTGATAAGCTTTATACTGTTATATTATATTGATTCAATCAACTTTACTATACCGACCTGTTATTATTACAAAGGCCAAGATCCTCCTAGCAGTGAAAATTTTAGAAATTAAACCATAGATAAAGAGTACACAAGTTGACATGAAGTGTCTTTAGTTTAAATATAGAGTGAGACGAATGTAAGAAAATTGAGTCTACAATAAAGGATTAGCAGATTCATAGCAATCCTATATAACTGTGCTGTAAACCAAAAAGTTATTGATTCACTTTGAATTGGGCCTTTTCAAGGATATAATCATTCTGTTCTGCTAGCTAATTTAATCGCTATGCTGATACTCTGCAAGTAGCAATTAGTTACTGTTAGTATTTAGAATACTACTTTATATAGTATGTTTTATAAGGATTAAAGCATAAATACTGTGTATCTCTTCATTTATTTAGTCATAATTTAATACGAAAAAGTAATTTTTTTAATACAAAGCGAGACTTTGTATTTAAAACTGCAAAACGATGCGATAATGTTTAAATTGATATTAATAGGAGCTTAATGAACTTTAAAAATATCACTATAGACGTATATTCAAGAAAATTATACTCAATATCATCATTGTTATCTTTCTGTTCCCCGAAAGAGTCACTTTTGCACACATATGTCCACTATAGGTTAGAAAAAAAGTAGTAGATAAAATAGCTGATTTATGCTATCAAACAGTTGATGTATTTAAACAAATCATTAATTTTAAAAGTATAATATAAATTGGAATACATTTTTTAGTTACTTATGAAATATTGAGTTTATTCATGTAAAAATATTTGCTAAAATTAAAAGCATTCAAGCAGAATAACTATTTCTTTGAATAATAATACAAATATTGAAAACAATTAGTCTTAAATATAGTATATTTAACATGTAAACATATTATATGTGAAATTGTATACATTCAATTTAAATAACACTATATCAGCCCTTCGAATAAGAGATCTACATTTTTTGACCTATTTATACATAAGAGTTAAGCAATAGACTTCCAATTTACAATCAGTTATGATACAAAAACTGACTAAATATATCATTATCATTTTTGTATTCTCGAGTAATGAAATATAATGACTGGGATGTCTCTTTGCTACAATAATTAAAATAAATACATATGACCTACATATTCTATTATTTAAATCATATTCCAAATTACACCCCAAATGTTTTTTACAATGCCTATAAATATTATGAGGTAATTTCAATTTTCACCTAACTGCTTTATAAAATGTTAAGAAAAAGTAATAAATAATATTCAGATGGATTTTATTGATAGATAATAATATCATTACAAGATCATTAAACCAGCAAACAAGAAAATTTTGTAAATGATTTACACAAATAATAAAGTAGAAAGAAACAGAAATGAAATTTTTGCTGCAAGTATTTAAATTTACAAACTAAAATCATTGATTTGACGACGATGTCTATTACATTTTTAAATGCCGAAAAAAGATATAATTCAAACCCTAAACAAATAACAGAAAGTTTTATTTCATATATACTCAACATATCTCGTTTATACATATACACGGTATATGCATTTGTTTACTTTTGTGAACTTTACTACTATGTTGGTCAAAAGCAACTAGCTTTGTCTCATAACATATAGCAACTAGGAAAAAACTGGTTGAAATTTATAAATCTGTTTTAATAAATGTAAAAAAATTTATTTTACAGACTATTTACTATAAAAGAAAAAAAATCAATCACAAAGAATTCTAAGCTGAAAAACAAAGCTAATGGACTATATTTTAAAGAAAAAGTGAAGCATAATTAATAATCCAAATATTATAAATAGACTTGTATTTCATATAAAAATAATGTCTATTTAGTTGGTTTCTATATAAAGCATTAAATATACCATATATAGTTTATAATATTTTGTATGTACAGTATGTATGTACCATACATACATGTGTAGTTCTGTAAAAAAAGAGGAATGGTTAACAAAAAAAGGACATAAAAAGTTTTTCAAGTAAATTATTTCATTGAACTTTTATTTAGATACTTTTTTATCCCATAAAAATAACACCATAAATAATATAAGTGAATATTTTACAAAAATTGATGAATTGTAATTAACTAAAATGGTAAAAATAACTCTTTCAATGTTAATTAACCTGTTTCGAAAATGTATGGACTTGATTCAACATTAACTCTAACCTGAGGACACTCAAGCTTAATCTAAATAACTTGTAAAATGTTTAAAATTAACAGAAATAGGACGCAGAAACAAAAGAATAATAAGATTTTAGTCTTATAAATTAGTAGCTAAAGTGTAGATAAAAGAGTTCCAGGATAAGAGAATAATTAATTCCCAACTTTGAATTTTTCTTCCTATCTCTCTCTTTCTCGCTAAAAATAAGTAATTACGAATAATTGAATAATATAAAACAAAATATCTTTTTAGAAGCAATGTTTAATTCCAAACTCTAAATTTATCCATTTTACTTATTTTAATATAGGCATAGAAAAATCAATAAAAATACACATAGAAGTTTGGTAATGAATGTTCTTGTTTCTTTTTTTTGTTTTTACTGTGTTTTAAATAAAAATAAAATTCTCTAGTTTTAAGACTACTCTGAAGAATTTAGATATATTACTCATTTCATTGAAAAGTCAAGCAAATAAATAGTTAAATTTTCTAAATACTTCATAAATTTGATTGTATTTCAAGGAGATAGTTTCTAGTGTCATTCTACACGAATGAGTGAATTTCACACCTGCTATAGCTTGCCTCACATAAAAATGTCCACCAGAAAACGCTAAGGAATTTTCCATATTCTCTTGGTAACCTAATTTTCTAAAAATAAATATGAATTACTTTAGAATATTTCTCTCTTACTTCTATAGTATGAATGAATAAAATATATTCAGGAGATTTGTCAATACTATTCACTTGCAAATAATTGATATCATTGATATCTTAACGCCATCTCTGGGCAATATCTGCAAATAATTTATATTAACATAGCTACCTAACAATTTAATCAACTTATATAAATATAATCACAAGCTTTATTTTCAAGAAAATAATATAATTAAAATTTTGAGCTGGAGACTTTATTTTTAAATGTCGAACTCTGTATAGGTGCTCCATCTGTCGCGTTTTGAAGGCGCAAAATGTCTGTATTCAAAAAACAATAGAATTATAAAGAAGAGACAACAAGAAAGACGATGATCCAGAAAATTGTGAATATTTGTGATAATATTTCACAACAAAAAAATCATGAATATTTGATGTATGCGTGAAATTACTTAATCAGAAGACTGGGGAAAATCCCAAATTTTACCTTTGAAGTTAATACTCTGATTAATATAACTATCATCGGGTAATCGATTACATTAACGAACTTATTCGTCTTTGTATGCAACATAAAGAGAAAACGTATTATAATTAAGAAGATTTACAATGTTGTGAAGACTCCTACCCACTGCTGAATTGTTTATTTCAGCAACAATAACTTTAATTGAAAATTTCCCTTATTAAACGTTGGTTTAGATTTTTTAAGGGAATATAATATGTTATAAGTAAAAAAGACTCAGATCTCTAAGTAATATTTTGTGTTGAAACTGATATGATGGTTTTTTTCTACATGAAATAAAATGGCTCAGGCATAGAAATAATAAATTATTAGCTATTTTGTTACATTTTTTATAATCAATTATTCATTAGAAGATTCTGGAAGGTGATATTTTCGATTATCTTTTTTTATCTCCTTGTCTTTTTCTTCCTCTATTTATCAGTCTATCTAATCTTAGCTATTTGCTTCATCATACTCTTTCCTTTAAGAAAAAATTGAAATATATAGGCCTCAAATAATTCGTAATGAAAACAACTTCATTTAACCTATGATTACGAATATAATCGAATAATCCTATTAATAAGGATTTCACTATGACTTCTTGTTACAGGTTTTCTTACCTATAAGAATGCAGCTAGGTAATTTTCACATATATCTAGAAGCAATAACGAAAAATAGCTTTAATAATTGTTAAGAATCATTGTATTAAATATTTCACTCATTTATCGTGATTAATTGGTAACATTTTCATGTTATAGTAATAATGAAAAAATATTAATAGAGACCAATCCCGTTTAACATATGAGTTATTAATACTATTTTTATAAGCTATGCTAATTAAGTAAATGTTATTTTTTGGCATTTAAGAAAAATTTCAAAAGGAACAGTCAGAGAAAGGAACAATGATCGAAGAAGAATAGCTAGGAAAAAGAACGAAAAACGCAAGAATGCTAAACGGCAAAGACTTAGAAATATTTTTTGAAATTGAAATTGAAATTTATTTTTACCAAATATAGAAATAACTAATTCTTATTTATTAAATATTTAAGTTCTGATAGTAAATTAGTATTAATAGTAGGTGGAATTGAATAATAATAATCTCTGTATAGACTTAATTTTAGAATTACTGTAAAACGAGAAAGATTATTGCTATACAAAAACGCTCTAAAACGCTAGTAATAATTTTTGCCGCACGAAACGCTAGAGCAGCAAAAATCTGCAGTCTGCGCTCGACTCTTGTTCAGATTGCAAAATGCATTGCACTCTTTAACCAACTAGAAATATGGAATCCTCTCTAATCCTCAATCACGACGATTCATCCTCTGAACTTCCGGAAGAATCCTTAGATTTGGAATACGATGACTTTCCTTTGGATTTAGTAGGCCTACCGACCTTCGATTACAATTCAGATTCTTTCCATATAGACGAAGAAGACGACGTCTGGCAACCAAACAAAGTTCAAACTCCACTTAGAAGCTCCACTTCAGGATATCAATCGAATAGGAATTCATACTTAAGTTCAGTTTCAAAAAATTCACAAAGGAATTCTGTAGTGTCGACAAGTATCCGAGAAGCTTATGCTTTAGACAACGATATTGTTTTTTACAACAATGACATTCTTCGAACAGTACAAGACTCTATAGGCCTGGATACTGATTCACGAACATTATTAGCTCCAAAAGTGGACAATAAGGATGATTACGAAATAACAGTGATAACAGAAAACCGAAATAGAAAAGGACATTTTCGATGTTTTACGAGAATCGCTAAATTTTTTTTAAAAAAATACCATCCGCTGCAAAAAGACTGTAGCAGATTTGAAAAAGTTAAATACCAGCTCAGATTGCCGCCAACTGGAAAATTATCTCATTTTCTCTACATAATTCTTTCTCTTACAATTCAGTGGGCTTTGACTTATATTATATCACCTAGAGAGGCGGCGCCCGGAGGAAATATCTTTGCAATTTTAGTTCTAATTACTTCCTCATGGGTTTTCTCAAAAGTGTTCAGGCTGTTGACTTTACCAGGATTTCTCGGTATGTTTAAAAAAAGTTTTTTATTGATAGTATTTTAAATCTAAGACATAAAAAATACGTACTCAATTTAAAAGATAAGCTAGATCATTGAAGGTAACAATATAATTAATTTTATTGTACTATCAAATTCAGCAATTAGTAGAATTCATTTGTTTTGTATTCAATCTCATTCACTGAGCACTAAATCTAATGAAACTAGGCTGAAGAATTTGATATCAAATATATACAGTATACAGATGTGTTGTGCTAACAAATATTTTCACTGTTTAAAATGTATATATACCGTCAAAAACATATTCTCTTTTAATAGAGACAGTTCATTTATGATTGCATACATAGTATTGTTATCTTCATATAATTATAAGTATTATTAATTATTGATTTTTAACCCTAACATATTAAAGTATTCTATCAATGATTTATTTGTTTAAATATAATTCGTACTTAATTCTCCGTTTTTGCAACATTAAATTAAAATATTAACTGTAAATTTTTTAAAATGCAAATATTAAATGGTGAATAAAACAAATGAAAAATAAAGGTAATAAGAAATCAAGAAGAATATTTCATAAAAAGCAATAAATAATTTTAATAATTGAGATAGAAATCGTTTTAGGAAATTTTATTTGCTGCAAAAAGGTACATATGGTTGTTTATAATAAAACATTAGATATTCTTAAATATATACAGTGTATAAATATTTCAAAGAAAAGTAAAATTTTTAAATACAATTCTTATCTACTATTTCTTGTAAATTGTATGATATATTGATAAACTAAGTCTATTTTTCTACATGATACATATTTGATCTGAATCAAACAAAACGGCGCTCGAACATATCTATCTGTATATTGTTTTCTTCGAGCGTTAATCGATAAAGTAGAGCTTTCAGTAAATTCAATAAAGCAAATTAATAGGAGGACACATAAATAATTAACCCGGTCTACATATATCACCCACAGCAATCTAATACTTGCTGTAAAAATTTACATATAAATTATAGGCTAATAAAAGCTGTTACAATCTTTTCCCTTTTTGGCAAAATTTTCCAATATATATATTAAAATAGTTTCCTTAAAAAAAATAAAATTAAAAAAACAATTTTTAGTCAATAATTTTTTTAAACTTATTCACATTTCTCTTTTCACTTGCACGATAGTTACTTTATAATTCGAGAATTTCAATATACACGAAAAAAGACATAAATTGCCCTACATGAATGACTTAAAAGAGCACGAAGACAATTGCTAAATAGCTTGAAATAAATAATAAAATAAACAAACCATATTTGAAAAACCAACTATTTATAATAACATACGCTGATGGATTAATGTTTAATATGATCATATCTGATATATATATATATATACTGTATATATATCGTATATATGTAAATACTATATAAATTATAGTCTCAGTACAGCTTTCAATTATATGCTTATTTCTTTCTCTCTCCAGGTATGCTAACGGCTGGTATATTAATTGGTAATATTCCATTATTAAAAAATACGGTTTATGATGGCTTAAACAGAACCGTTATTTCTATAATAAGGTTAGTGACGACAGCTAAACATTTTACAGCGAATATTCTAAAAATGAATGTGATATCTGCCTGACAATATGTAATTTTTATCATTATGGTATTTGTCAAATAGTAAACCTATCTTGCTTCGGCTAAAAATGAACTCCACCCGTTAAAAAAAAGGAAAAAAAGAGACGTATTGACTGAAAGACTTGCTATGAATAATAAAGAGATTGTTAATTTCCCATATTGTGAAACTCGAGAATATACAAACAATATTATGTGGTTACTTTATTAATTAATTTGCTTAATGGTAGAAAAGTGGAGAAAGAAGAAAGAAAGAAAAGAGTAAAAAAATAAACAAGTAAATAAATTAATTATAGATGAAGTAACGCCCTTTCTTACTATTACCAATATAAAAGTGGCGCAAAAGAATTCCTCTCCAATCCTTTAATCACCCAAACAGTTGCCTTTTGAAATGAGCTTTTATATCTTAACAAGTCGACCCTACAATGTAAAAAAGAAGAGCCAAAATTGCAAAAGTATAAAATACGAAGGATTTTTGTAAAAGTAAGAATATCATAAAGTTAAATTAAGAAATCGATCAATTTAGATACCACTGGGTGTTTACTGTGTAAGATTAGAAATACTGGAAAACTGCAATGGAGCCTGTCAATCATTAACTTATAAAATAGTCGTTTATACTTTAATTAGAAGTCTTGTCCGGAATGAAACTAGAATCTTTCAATTCTAAACAATGAAGCAAAAATACAAAAGAGCCAAGAGATAGGATATTGCACTAATTCTTGAATTTCAACAGTTTTATGCTAAAGCTCTCTTCTTATTGATAACTATGATTATAATTTCGTTATTCCTTTCATTAAGAGATTGTAAAACAATAGGAAAAGAAAGAAATTTATAAGAACTTGGTCATATATCGATTATAAGAAATCCACAGAAGAAATAATATTATTCATATTATACGATTTCCTTTTTATTCTTAGCGGGATGTCTCTATTGTTATAGGGGAAAAAGAGATAGAGAAGACTTTTGTAATCAAATATAAAAAAAAAATATTGTTTCAAGAGGAAGAAAAAATGGTCTGTAAATAAAACGAAGACGAATCAATGACGTTTACAAGTGAGAGAGTATCTTTAATTTCCTTGTTCTGATTGTAGTTCGTTTTATCTTCCTTTAACGTCTCGCATTTCGTTCGATTAGCGACGAGAAAAGGGATGCTTTATTGATCTCTTTCGTTATTTTCTTGTTAGACCGATTCCGCAGCCTAAAAGCGTCACGTTTTATTTGCAACAAGGAATTCTTTGACCAAATAAAAATTTAATCGATAGTAATCTTTCACTTAGAGAGAGAAAACAACACTTAATTAGCAAATTTGAATGATAACTGGGTTTTAAAGAAATAGAAAACTAGATAAATCGTAGTTTTGCTCCTCTGCTCCAGTTTAGGAAAAGAAACATAGTTATACTGTATATACAGTATATTCAGTATATATATAAAAATGATATAAAATGGGCAATATTATATCTTCATATCATAGATTGGTTTACATTTAGAAAATTGCCTTCAGGAGAAAACTAACTCAATTTTGATAATGAGCTCAAATGACCGGATATTATTCGACTAGCTGGACCACTGATTGAATGTCAGCAAAGATTTCAAGATCTTAAACTTAATGCTGCAGTAGAGACTATTTTTCAAAATCAGTAAATTCTCTCTTATGAATTAACAAAAAAGGAATATTACATGAAACAGAAGAAGAAAATTTCTCTTTTTTATATTTAAAATCTCATCCCTACTATTCCACATCCAATTTAAATGTGTTCGGAAATTTCCCAAAAACTTCCAACTTAGTTAAACAATTAACCGTATGTAGTTGGGCGTCAGTCGATCACTTAACCGTTTCTATTCTGTTGACGTCAACTACACATAATAAACCAAAATGAGATTTATACGGATAATCCTTTATACGAATATTGACCGTCTCCATAAATAAAAACAGAAAAAAAAATAGGGGAGAACGATAAGTGTTTCGTGAAACCCGGAAGGAAGGGAGAGAGGACTGTGAGAATGGAGATGGAAGTTTTTTGAAAAGGACAATGAACAAGAGCTACTAGACGCTTTTAGGTGACGGGAAATACGGGTGGAAAATAGTCGATTATAGCCGAAGCTGATAATTTTTCAATGCTAATATCGAAAATCAATTGTAGGATTGTTTAACAGATTTTCCTCCAATTTTTTCTTTATTTCAGTCTTTAATTTTATTTTCATCTCAAAGGCAAATGGCTTTGGCTTGTCTGCTGCTCAAAATGGGACAAACGTTTGATGTAGGAACGTTGAGAAAACTAACATATGCCGTTCTTCGTCTAGCAATTTTTCCGGCTTTTAGTGAAATTACGTTCGTTACTGTTACATCCAAATTTTTACTAAACTTTGGATGGTTAAGAGCCGTTTTATTAGGGTAAGAACAAGTATTATAAACTTGATTAAAGCCACCAAAGTAATAAATTAGCCAAAGAAAACAATTTATTGTTTTAATTAAGAATGTACGTTATCTAAAAAACATTAAACAATAAAAAGATAAAAAAATTTTCCTTGAATGGAAGAGATTTTCCCGCTTTATTTTCACCTTTTCTAGATACGATTAAGTATTGAAAAAATATAGAATTCGTAAGAAATACCAGATTTTCCATTTCTCTGCGTCGACAGATCTTAAAGCAGGCTTTATGTCTATAGTGAAGTTGCACTCTTTTTATTTTTATTTGTCAGGAAAAAAAAGAATGCTTCGCTCCATCGAACGTATTAATATATATTTTCGTAAGAACGAGCACGTATTACACTGACGCCATTGTTGTCTCAGACAATATATAATATATACAGTATATGTATATACAGTATATACTGTATATATATATATATATATATATATATATTCCTTAATAAGTGCAGTAAAAATAAATTATCCTCTTTTCCTTTAAATTGGAAATTCCCCTTTAAAAACATTAAATTTACCTGTATGAAATGTTAAAATTATAAAATTCTTCTATATTTCATTAGAAAATTAATTATTTTGGTGGTTATAGTCGCTTAATATTTCCAATTTATCAATATTTTGCAAAATAAACATTTTCCAGTACAATTCTATCACTATCAAGTCCGTCAATTATCTTACCGACTTTATTTAGAGTTTATAAGAAATGCTTAAATAAACGTCAACAAATATCAAGTATTTTAATAGGATCCTCAAACCTCGATCATTTGATTATCTGTGTAATTTTATCAATTTTACTTGGAATAACATTTTCAGAGCGTTAGTTTATAATTTATTTAAAAGTGATAATTCTTTTTACACTAAAGTTTAATATCATTGGATAACAGAAAAAAAGCATGCATTAATAATACTAGAAGGACCCTGTGAACTCTTAATTGGTTCGTTGTGCGGAATGATTGCTAGTGGTGTACTGGCCTATTTACCTCATAAAACGTCCGTAAGTATAACAATTTTCATTTAGTTGTTTCATTTTTATACTGCAGCCTCTAAAAGAATATGTATAAATCAAATAAAAAATATATACAATATTAGCGATATCATTTTATGAAATAAAAATTTATAAATTTAAATTAATAATAACAGAGCCTACTTGGCAGCTAAATGAACAATAAACATCATACGTCTTTTATTATAAGGCTCAGTAAATGGCCCTACATTTATTAGTTTATCTACGGATACAATTGTAAAGCGTCTTTTCCTTAAAAAGCAACATATTTAAAAATTTTATACAAGTCTATATACGTTTGGGTCTGAGATCGGAGGACACAAATAATTAATGCTTTGAAATGACTATAAATAAATTTTCTAAAGTTTAATTGATCCAATTTTTCTGCTTAAGGGATTACATTAAATGACAAAAGGAACGAGTTAAACGCATAAAGAAACGAATCCAAATGCTTAGGTCGCTTTTTCCTGCTTATTGCTCTATTTTTTTCTTCATTTCTTATAAAATAAGCTTTTTTTAAAATACCTTTGTAATCGAAAGTTTAATTAGACAATTAGGGCTACTTAGATAATCAGAAGACGAGACATGTTTGTATTAAAATATACAATGAGACTATTTTTATAAAATGCTCCCCGAGCCTTATGCTGATAATGAGGCCCTATACTATATTAGACATATTGTAGGGGAAAACTCTCCCACCCAAATTGACGCTTGATTTTTGAATTTTTTCCTCTTTCTTTTTTTCAGAAAAATTTGATAATTAAACGATTTATAATTCTTTTTTGTGGTTGCTTATTGAGCACAATTGGATGTCAACAATTCTCTTTTTTTGGAGCTAGCCTTTCTTCCTGCTTTTTCCTGAGCTTTCTATGCTCATTCATTTGGAAAAATGATAATTGTAAAGATCATAAGGTATTACAACTTTAAAAGTTCCTCTTGTTTGCATTGAAATTGATATATTAAAGAACTTTAAATCTTTGCCTTTTAAAGATAACATTTATGAGGCTTCATGAGAAATTTTCATCCTTCATACTTTTGATACAATTATCTTTAATTGGCGCTGAAATTCGGTTGGATGGTCTCAAAAAACAAATCGGTTCGCTAATAAAACTAGCACTTTCATTATCGCTTAATCAATTCCTTACTCTTTCTTCTTCAATTACGTTCAGGTTTATCGACATTAGTAGTTGTAGCAGGACTGATTGGCCGTTTCCTAACTTCTCTCTTATCTCTTGTAAATTGTGGAATAAATTGGAAAGAAAGAATTTTTATATCATTAGCCTGGCTACCTAAAGCCGTTCGTCATGTAAGGAAAAAGAGTTAAAAAATAAGTAGAAATTATAGACACAAAGTTTATCTTCATATTTTATTTCTTTTTTAAGTCAATCCTTGCTATAATGCTCATCGATATATCCGATACGAAACGATTTCCTTCTATTGAATCTGACATACGAAAGGTTTGTATTTCGTTTCTTAATAGTTGAATTATGGAAAGGGTAAAGCAGTGGAAAATATACAATTTTTATATAACCGCCAAAGATAAATAAATATACATTATTGCGAGCAATCGTAAGCCTAAAATGCCACGAAATCCGGTTAAAACGCCATCTATGTCTGATATTTCCTCGAGGGAATTTGAAAGTGCTCCTGTTTGTAGCATGATAATGTAAAGATATGACCCATATAATCAACTACAAAAATGAAAAATTATCATTCAACTGAATTGTATCACTATAGTAACGCAATAATTGGCAAAAGTAAAAGACATTTCGATCTATCTTTGGATAAAAATCTAGCTGTCCTTATAAAAAAATTACGATATGAATTACTAGAGTCATATCACGCAAAAGCAAATCCATTAATTGGTTAGAAACCAAAAGGTATATGATTCTCCTGTCCTACATTTCTTTATTTTTGATTGATTTTATCTTCTATGTCATTTTATGGATCAAATATGCGCAAAAAAAACTGTGTCACTCTACATATAAACATAAACTACGTTTAAAACTATTACCTGTTCACCTTCATACTTATTATTTTGCTAGAATTCATTAAGTACAGTGTAGTTACAATATAGCTACTCAAAATTTGTTAGAGGACTTAATTTGCTATTTATCCTGATTTAAATTATAGTCTTTTAATCCGCTCTCACCTTAAATTAATCTTTTATGTCACTTTACCCTAAAGAGACCTTTCACTAGGTGTATATCATGAAAATAAAAGGGGTAAGCCACAGTAAGAAACAGTAAATATGGTTTAAAATGTTATTGGCTTTATAGATAAAGAAGTTGAACGGGAAATTTAATATATATTTATGCTTATGTATGTTTTATATATAAAAAATTACATATCATATGAATAGAATCCAGTAGAAGAATAGGTTTTTTACTTTCTGCTTATGGATAAAGAAAGGCATAGAGGGTATATTGTGTATCGCCCTATTCTATATCAATTCGAAGTCCATATGGATATGTTACATTCCACTACGTCACTTTGAATACAGCATAATTGAATATAATGACTTAAAATTATGTAGTAAAAAATACTCTAGATCTCTATTATAGACCACAAATTGCTAATCCTTAAAGTTTGCTAGGACACCAAAGGGTTCACTTCTCTATGAAATTAGGTATTAATGGGCGATATTGCAGTCTTTTCACAAAACGTCACCGAAATTTACTGAACGTGACTTGAAAGTATTGAAAATGAATTGTAATTCTCATCATAGTATTAATATTTGCAGATAACTAATACGTGCTTCCTCGGCGTCCTCTATACTTCATTACTTGGACCAATTTTAAGTATAACTGCCCCGTTTATGTTGAGGAAAGCGCCTACTGGTAACAGAGCGGAAACTAAACAAAGCGTTGAAGAAGTTATAATAAACAGACATACTGAAAATGAACTTTTAACGGAGAAAGAAACAGTTACGTAACTTTTTAACCAATTTTAATCATAATATATACAAAGAAAAGATTTTTTCATTAACTAGTTAGAATGATCTATAGGGAATGAATGAAAATGCAGAGAAAGAGAAATTGTGTTTATATTATATGTCAACACTAAAAGATAGATATAGAAATGAACATTGCCAGATGCTTTGATTTGAATCGAAAGCTTTTTCTTCACAAAAAGCAAATATTATTATCGCAATAAACAATATTTATCGTTCCAATTCCATGGTTACCACTTCAGATCTTTTTGTATAAGGAGAGACATGAACAGTGATAAGCTGTCCAGAAGGGGTTTTAGATAGAGAGTGAGCATGTAATCTGAAGGCTGCCCCACTTTTATCTACGGGTATAATTTGTGAAATAGTTTGTGTTGAAGATTGCAGACTGTAGAAACTCCCAGTGGAGGCTATTAAGGCATTTCCGAATTTATCCATAAAAAGTCCTTTGGCTGAGGCAGGTAATCTTGTAGTTTTCAGCATATCGCCGTCATAGGAGTAGATCCTTAATTGTCTATCACCATTTCTGGGTTCAAAAGTCAATCCGATATTACTACCTGCAAACATATACTTGTTATTTGAAATTTTTGAAATTTTCAATCAATAGCTGGAATAAATAGTAAATGAAGATTTTGTCTTAATAATACTAAATTGAAAAGAGGGAATTAAGGAGATCAGCTATGAACCATGAAATTTTGTTAAACAAAAACTGATTTATAACAGACAATCAATATATCTAATATAAAATTACCTTTCCAGTGGACACATCTACATCCATAGTGCTTGCTTAGCATGCACAAATAATAAATATATAAGAGTAGGAAATATTATAGTATTAAACACTTACTCCTAAGGCATTGGATACACAGTATTATTATTAATAAAGAGGAGATCAGCCTTAGCAGAGCGTACAATATTATATACTTAGAACATTCAAGTCACGAAGTATTTTATTATGCTTTAAACTAATGGCCTATTCTTTTAGCTAAAAATAACAAATCTATAGCTTACCTCCAACAGCTAAATTAAAAAACTCTGGTAAACTTCCTAAAGGAAAATTTCGTAATTTGCTTCCAGATTCATCGTACACACATAGCGCATGACCTTCAGTTACCACATAACATCCATTGATGTCTATCGATAATCCACGTATGCCCGATCCAATAGGAAAATGACTCAAACAATTCCATGATTGAGGAGAATATATTTTCAAAGAATTTTCAATAGCTACAGCTATATTACCTGATTCATTAACTAAAATACCAACTGGGTAGTTGATTTCGGTTGACAGAACTCTTTGCTGAAATTTTCCAGACCTGTCACAAATCCACAAGCCGGAATTCTCAGCATCTGCAATAACTATCTTTCCATTGGATAAAAATGCTAAACCACAAGGTTCTTTAATATAACTGGTAGTTTTAAATTTTGATACTATTCTCGCAGTCTGGGGAGGAACCCTTTGGGCTATTTCCGGCTTAGGAAAGCTTTGTAGGGATATTGTTGATATGCTTCTTGCTGGGGGTAGAGATATTTCCCTTCGAGAGGATATTTCTCTCGGGAGTGGTATACCTGAATCAATATCTTCAGATTTTTTTAATCCCTCGTATACCTTTTTTCTTTTTCTCGGAGTGGTTTTAGGCGCGGCCTTAACAATAGGAACTTTCGAGGATCTCTTTATAGAATCTAATTTATTCGGCTTAGCATCTTGATTAATAGTCGGCAGTAAGTTCATTTTAGGATTATTTTCTACTTTACCTAAAGTTTGATTGTTCAAAAATATAATAGACGGGCCACTGAACTCTTTTCTATCCAAAGCTTTGGGACTTTGAAAGATTTCAGCCTGCTGGGAGACACGTAAGGCTGTAGCTATAAACTTCTCTTGGGATAACTTATCGTTTCCTTTACGACTTGCGAAATCTTGGACTTTTTTCAACTCCTGCCATTTTGTTTTAACAACTTTTTTCCTATCACTGACTTTTTCTAGCTTAGAATCTAAGAAAGAATCTAAGTCTTGTTCAAGTTTCTCGTGTTGAGATCTAATTGTTTGCTGTAGTTGAATAACGTGAGCATTCAAAGCTATCTTCTTCTCTTCCCTTATCTCTTCTATATTTATTTCTATCTTCTGTAACCATTCTAATTCTTCGGATAGCGTGGCTGATATTCTTGAAATTTTTGCCATAACTTTACGAAGGGCAGCTTCACATTCAGCAATTTTTTCATTTAAATCGACAATATCATGGTTCTTGTGCTCAATCATTGTACAATTGACGCAAATCAATTGAGAACACTTCTCACAAAAGTATCGAACTTCAGCGAAATCGTGTTTGGAACAATTTTGTTCTACTTTCTTTTCTGATTTCGGTACAACATAGTGATCAGCTGTTACTTTGGTCGTTCGATGTTGATCGCTGCATATTTTGCAGAGAGGCATTGAACAGTCTGAACAATACATTGGAGCAGACTTTCTTTTGTTCTTTAGCCGACAAATCTGGCATAGTCCATCGAAGTCAACTATATCCGAGGAGTTTAGCGATTTACTCATAGCTACTAGCTCCTAAAGACTATCAAAATATTACTTCTTCGACTAATCTCCCCTATTATGGGTGGTAGTATTAATCCTGATTTAATCTCTGATCATACACTCCTTCATAACCTAAGTGGACAAGGTTAATTTCCTTAAAGCATACACTACTACAAGTATCGAGAATGCCAAAATCGATATTGAAAATCTCTGATATTGATCTGCTGTTTATCAATACATAACAACCGATAACGATAAGTAAACATTGAAATTTTGACGAAACTAAGTTTTCCCTAAAATAGATATACTATATTTGTTTAATAGTTTAAGCAACAGGGCACGAATTCTTTAGCGGAAAACATTCTATCCCTGGTAACATATGGTCCATTTTATCATAGTCTCTTTTTATATACAAAGTATATTTACTTGAAGATCAATCCAGATCGTAAATTAACCTTTAAATTTCGTTATTTTACAATCAGAAAGCTTTTAAAAAGTCAACATTGTAATATTTGAACTTAGGTATCAAGTCAACTTGATTTTGACCAGTATAAGAATTCTATGTAAACGTATAAATTGTATTATACTAAGAAAATATCACTTTATCATGACTTGATACGTTTAGGGTGCAATTTTTTCTTTTTTACTAATTCAGATAAAAATTTTCAATTTTCATCGAATATTTTACCACAAATATTTTGATTTCTCAGATTTTATAAAAACTATAGCTAAAAGTAAGAGTATTATCAGGCCAAGTGGTATATACATTTGAAAGATTTTTCTTCTTTCAGTGGCCGATAGATGGCCTACAGACTTTTCTTACATTTTATAAATAGTAGTTCCTTTCTTCTAAGAACATTGGTTTTACTCCAAAATTGTGTTCTCTACAATTATTGTACAAAGAATTCGTTTCAATATCTATAACATAATCCTGTAAACTTTCTTCTCCTTTGTAACACTAAACCTCAATTTTAAGAATTCGTAAGAAGCATTATACTTACGAAAATGAATATTTAAAATATATTTGTATATATGTCATTATTGTAAATAATTATTATCGAGTACTCATAGAAGAATTTCTTTTTTAGATTATTTTATTACATTCATATACGTTTACATTGCTAGTTGTACTGAATGTTTAAAATAAACAACAAAAGAATTCATTAGCAACGTAAAAAGATATTATTAGTATTAATATAAATATACCAGAATGATTGAATATTTATATTACACATCTTTCTTGGTTTTTCAATCTAGTCATCTATTTCTCAGAATAAAATTTCCGACCATTTTATTTATTTGTCACTTTTTACAAGTGTAACAATTGTTTTTGAGGGCATTCTTTAATTCTGATTTTATTTTTTATAAAAGTAGTGTGTTTAGATATCAATTAAAACTTGAAAAAATAGAATGCGCAAAAAACTGAAGAAAAGTCAGAGTGATTTGAAAAAATTTGTGAAAATATTCTGTACTCTATCTTCTCTATAATAACGAACAAAAATTTGACATTTGGCTCGTTCTAATTGATCTAGTAGAATATTAATTAATGTTAAGAATTAAATTGTATGTCAAAACAAAAAATCATCTTCGTGTTAACGATTACTCTCTCTGTCTTATGTTCTCAATAGATGGCAGTGATTGTTGATCAACATAGTTTCTAGATAGAGTAATTTTTCCCACTCCCAATTAGTTTAACAAGGACAAAATACGTGATATGCTTCATTGAAGCAGAAAATATCAACGCAATATTCCGTAAATACTAAACTTATTTATTCTACTTTACTGAAGAACATAATATTTCAATTAGTTTTGAAGCAATTGTTCAACGTCGACTCGCTTCCTTCGTCTAGTATAAAATCCCCATATCTTGCAAAAAAAATATAGGGGAAGTAAGAATTTCTCTCCAAGAGCCAATTCCCTCATACTCTCTTTTCCCAAGGAATTTTACTCTCATAAAATTAGGTAAATAAGAAACTTGTGCATCTTTACTGTTTATAACCCTGAAGGAATTATAACATGTGGACATTTATAACATTAATTCTGACACACTTCTTAACTAATATCAAATAATTAGCTTTCCAATATTTTATTAAAAATATTTGGATAAATGCTATTTTTTATTGAATTACTGCTCCTAAAATTTTTGCGATAGTGTTTAAAAGAGAGTAGACGTGATAAAACAATAAACTCCTCTGCATCAGCTTATTCAGAAGATAAGAATAGTTTGTCTGTGGTGGCCAATTGATGCTACCTTAGCGATATATAGATAAGTTATGAAATACAGGAAGCTAATTAAAACTTTAAAATATTAGCCGTTTAGCAGTTCAAAATAAAATGTGACCGAAACGCCATCTAGGTCGAATAGAATTCCACTGCCAACGCACTAACTACTTTAGAGGACTTGAGCCGTCTCCTTTGCAAACTGTTTTCGCATTTCTTTCACCGCAGTGTTATCAACTCGTCTGATTAAGAAGGTATGAATTATTCAAAAAGAACTGTTTCAGGAACCTGTATAAACTAGCTTCGTTCTCCTTTTTCGAAAGCCGAATGCTTAAAAGTCTAATTTGTACCAAAATCAGGCCCTAAGGCTTTATAAAATGTTGTACTGACCTAAACTATTTTCTTTTTAGACCTCTTAATTCTCAGTTCAGAAAATGAGAATCGGATGCTATTGAAACATGGAAGCTTTTACAAGAGCCACACCTCTGAACGCCACGAATGGGACATACGAAATCGAATTTTCTAGCATCATTTACGCATTTATCTATTCTTTAATTTGCGTTCTCGGTACTATTGGCAATGGATTAGTGATCATTGTCATTATCAGATACGCTAAAATGAAAACAGTAACCAACACTTACCTGTTGAATCTGGCTATTTCAGATTTGTGCTTCCTTGTTGGTTTACCTTTTTTAACGGTAACTATTCTTGTTAGGCATTGGATATTTGGTAGTAGTATGTGTAAAATATTTATGATGTGTACGTCTACTAATTCGTTCACTTCTGCGTTCACTTTAACCGTTATGTCCTTCGATCGTTGGCTGGCTGTTTGTCACCCTGTTAGGTCTATATCTTATAGAACACCTTTGGTTGCAAAGTTTGTCTCAGTCGGAGTATGGGGCTTATCTATGTTAGTAATGATACCCGTTTTTCTCTATTCGACGACAGTAACAAATAATCCTGGAAATCAAAAAGAATCATGCAAATTAATCTGGCCCAAAAATCAGGCAATTATTCACCCTGATAAAGCGTTCATTTGGTACGGATTACTGCTGGGTTTCGCCATTCCCACCGCCCTAATTTCTGTCTTCTATATGTTAGTTGTCATACGATTAAAGTCTGTTGGGCCCAAGAATAGGAAGAATTCAGATAATAGGAAGAGAACGCACACAAGAGTTACAAAATTAGTTCTAACAGTTATCGCAGTTTATGTTATCTGCTGGTTACCCCATTGGATTTATCAGATTTATTTTACTTTTGCTAAAGACAAACCTCCAGATTGGGTTATCAATTTGTATCAAGCAATAACGATTCTATCTTATACCAATTCAACATTGAATCCAGTTCTGTATGCTTTAATGTCGGATAACTTCCGAAAAAGTTTCTCTAAAGCTTTCCGATGCATTTCCAAAACGGAAGTTGAAGGAACACTGAACGTTGAGCCTTCAATATTTCCAAGGAGGAAGAAAAGCAGACCTCAAAATAGACTAACCTTAGAATTAGCCAAACAAAAGTCAACATCTAATTTAGAATTACACGAAGAGGCAGTTGTAGAGGCTTTCCTGAATGAAAAAATGAACGATCAAGAAGAAAATAACAAAAATGTCTGTTCAGTACAAGAGTCTCCTGAAGGTCGTCTAGCCTGCCAAGTATAATGGGTTAACTGGGTAAACACTTCTAACCAAATTTCTCTATATTTTAAAAGTTACATATTTCTATTTATGAATGCATAATAATATACAATGTTTTCCACATTTAAACTCATGTGAAGTATCCAAATAACATATAACATTTCAAAAATGCATATTATGTTTATATAAATATGTATATTAGCAGTATTGCAACCTAAGTTTGTCTGTGTTTGCTTTTAAACGCAAAAAGAGGAGCTAAATAGTGCATGATTACTTAAGGTTCGAAATGTGTATATATTTAAAACAGGTATCCATGTTGTATTATAAGAAATTTTTATTAAATACTTTCATACAAGAAAAAATACTGTTGACTTTTAGTTATTACAAGGTTACAGCAAATTTAGCTTAGTAGAATAATCCACCGTTCCTTCAATTAAATTAAGAATGAACAATAATAGCTAATCGAAAATAAAAGTGTACAAATATATAGAGAAGATATAACGAACCATTCATCGATATCCGGTTTTTTATTTATATTTAAAAACGGAAACGAACATTCTCCAGTAATTGTTAGTGAATGTGTACTCTATATGGATCGTATTGATGAATTGTGTGGTATGAAACAGCCTAAAAAATTACCTACTAAAATTATAAACGTGCTCTAATTAAAAATGTGCCGATATTAGAAAAGGGGTTAATTTGAAAATTCACTCCTTTTCTTGCTTCGTTTTTTCAATTGGAGGTGTCATTTCCATATTTATTTTAAAAAAATTTTTCCATCTTAGTACATTACAAAGAAAAAAAATGCTTCTCTTTTCTTACTCTCACTTACAATGTTTAGGTGTGAGCCTTTAGAGATAGATTATATCCTTTTTTCAAGTATTTTGTTGAAAGCAATAATCATTTCTTACTTTATAGAGGAAAATTACCTCTAGAAAGAATGGTTGAAAGAAGAGACCCTTACGTAAATACTATGCAGTATTTTGTACAGTCATTAATTAATATCCATTAGTTTCCTTCAGTCACGCTTCCGTCCGCTAGTGGTCAACGGCCGTGTTTTAAAACTAATAATACCCCACTGAGCCAATTCCGAATACGAACCCTCGTGTCTCTATCTATTCCTCGTGTTCTTTCTATAAAATCCATTACTATAGTAGAATTTTTGATTTGCTAACATTTATTTCTAAAAATAAGCACATATGTAATTTTGTTGTATTATTTAAATATATGTATAGCTGGAAGAGTAGAATAAAGAGCAGATATTTTTAAAACATAAAGGAGAATGGGTGCGAGAGGAGAAAGATAAAGATAATATTAGACAGACACAAACCTATAAAGAATGAGAGTGAGACTGAGAGGAGCAGGTAAAATACTTTGAGAAAAGGAAAAAAGATATTTTTAAGTATGTACAGCATTTTTCTCATAATTAGTGTGGACACGAGGAGATTTCTTTTTCATTAAACGACCAACAGAAGATATATTGTAGACATATGGCACTTGCTATTTTAATAGTTGCCTATAGGTAGAATTTGTATCATATTAAGTTGCGTCCTCCAACAGTTCTAATGGGTATCGCGTTTATGTTTCTTTATGATTCTCTGCTTTCATAATTTATATTTTGATATAATTTGCTTCAAACATATAAATTACCGAATAAATGTACAAACGCTCATTGCAAGTAAAGCTCTGACAGAGGGATGTATTATTAGAGATATTCTCTCAAGCTACAAGTAGGAGTATATTTTTTTCTTAAGAGTACTAAGAATCCATTAAAAAATGTATAGCTTTCTAAAATATTAAAAATATGCAATTAAACTGCTTTACAGAAAGTAAAATAAGTCAGACATATGGATGATTTAAGAAACGCACGAAAATTAAAAATAGTTCCCTTTCTTTCTACGCAGGTGTTTGTAACAAGTACATATACTTACCTATTGAGTAGTACAAAAGTCGCATTTTCACCGTGTTTCTAGTTCATCCTTTGTATAGTGTTGGTGAATTAAGCAAACGAGCGGCTTAATGAAGTCTCCATTCTTATTATCAGCCGCATTAAACATTATCAAATTTATTAACGTGTCTCTATACGGTTTTTGTTATACTTTGCATTTTTTGTAGTTTTTTATTCTTTCTCTAATCTATCAATTATTATAGTCTCGTCCTTATAGCTTCTCTATCGGCGAACGTATAGCTAGTGCTTTCAAATAAACTAAGCATTCGAGCAAAATTAGAGGCACGTAAGAACTTCAATAGTGCTATTATTGTTCTTTCTTTTTAAATCATCTATCATTTTCATAAAGCAAACGAACTTAAGGTGTTTAAGGTGACTAGTTTTTATTACCTATTTTGACTTCCTTAATATTTATCTTTTTTGCAAGAAAAATCTCTTCATCAATTTTCATATCTAGCGAAAAAGTACTTGATAATATTTACATGACCTTCTTTTTTTTCGATTTAGGAGAATAAAATTAGAGATTACATATACACTTTCTACAGTATAAGAAGTTTACAAAATAAAGGAGCCAGTTTTGTAAACAGTATCAGCAAATTAATAAAATTATATATATTTCCAAAATAATATCCTACGTCTCCTATTTTAATGGATTATACTTAGGGAAGAAAGGGAAAATTGTTATGAAATACAAATTCCTGCAATTTTCGATTTCTCGAGTAAAAAGGATAGAAGAGAAAGAAAATCTAAAAAGCAATAAATATATATTGGGCGTCTACAAAACAGTTTACCTATAGTATAAAAAATCTTTTACCAATCGATCTATTAAAGTTGTGATAGAGGCGGTTTATAACGACATACGCAAATAAAATTTGTCTTCAAGCCGATTTCATTGATTAGATCTAAATATATGTGTGCTTACGCATTCAACGGTTTCATTAAGCTGATTAATTGGAGGAGAAAATTCATTACGTGCTTTCTTGTATAGTATTTGGACGCTTTTTGACGCAGATTTTCTTTGTGATAAATTTATTATGCTATTCGGATAAAATTTAATTACTGAGGTGACATTGTCTATTAATCAATTATTCCATTTTTATTTACAAATATTACCTCAAGTTCTTTTGTATTTGTTGACTGTTTAATTTTAATTACTAGCCTTTGCATAGAGTACAAGTAAAGTTTTTGCATGATCCCACTTTTTCTTCTTTTCTATTCCTATTCCTTCCCCTACGTGACAGCCAAAATACATCAATAAGTTATTATCCCTAGTACATATTCTCCAATAGTGTTGAATATGTAAGAAATTTTTATCAAAAGCATAATTGTTTCCAAAATTCAGGAGTAGCTCATTAGTCAATAATACAGCATAGATATATAGAGAATAATATCTAATATCCACTATCTATTCACATAAATACATAGTTATATCGAACAGTAGTGTATATTTAATGAAGAACGAAATAGTTATTAGGTTAAACGACCCTGTTCCTCTCTATTTAAGTATGTTTATCATATACTTTTTATAAATACTGTATACACTGACAATCTAAAACAATATAAACTTAGTATGCTATGCTACTTTATTTTAAACATTAAAGGAGTGACTATAGGTAATTAAATGTTAATTTTTACATGTCGAAAAACAAATATTTTTCAAAAAATATATTTACTTTTTTAATGTAATTTCTAGCCTAATTTTTATTCAAAGCACGTAATATGAAAAAATATATCTTGTATTACCTAAATTTTCAGATTGTATTCCTGCTAACATATATTCTTTACAATCTTAATTTTAAAAAGAAATTTAATCGGAAATTAAAAACGTGTCCAGCATGACCTTATTTTGTTGGAAGCCTGTGCTCCCATCTCTTTTTATTTTGACCCACTATCGGATATCAAATTAACGATTTTATATGTTTCCTCTTAAAGCTTTTTCAATGCTTTCCATCAAGTAACAGCACTGAGCTGGCATTGTTTAACAACGCTGAAATATAGAAAAATATGATGTATAACTTAAACTCAAGTGCGTTAAGTGTAAATAAAAAATAAACTGAAAAGTCATGTTTTAATAAGTATTTTCTACGTTATATAAATTACATTACTAGCAGTAATTGTATATACATACCGTACAATATATAAGATGTTTTTGAATATCCTGTATGCTTCACTTGTACCCTATTTTTATTATTATGCTAATTTTTACTTTTTAATTCAGTAGCAGATAAATATTGTTATTAAGAAAATAGCATAAAAATAGTTACAGTTGTTTTATTAAGTATAAAACTAATGATAGCAGGTCATTATTTTTACTTCCGCCAACAAATTTATTTTGAAATAATAAAACAGAGCTTAATTAGACGAAAAACAAAGAGATGTATTATTCTATCTTAAGCTACTGATTAAAAATTTATAGCTAGCTCGTAATAGTATATAGTGTTAAAAAAAAAGGCTAGTTCTGAATACATAGTTAGGTTTCACCTCTCATCCAACATAGAAATAAGCTATTACCAATCGGAAATTGAGTATACAATAATTTTGTGGAACTAATAGGTAGTACTTGAATCTTGACTTAATGATACAAAAATTGATAAAAGTTACAATTTTCAAAAAGTATATTCTCTATAATTAAATTGCTGAAACTAGAAAAGTAGTAAAGAAATGTCTGATAAAGAATGAAAAGACCTAAAAGCTTCAATTTTAAAGCATGTATGCCCTTATGTAATTTAATAAAGTGTATTAAAGAAAGAGGAAAAACAACTCATTTTCCTGTGTCATAACATAAGATGCTGTTTTCTTTTTTTAAAACCTATTCTCCTCTTTTACCCTCAATTAAATTTTTTAAGATACTTAATAGTGACACTATAGAGAAAAGAAATTTTAAAAAAAGTAAAAAAAATTTTTGATTAATTAATAAAAAAAGTTAAACCTACTTCCTTTATATTCTTATTCAATAGTCTACTTACTAATGTTTTTGTTATAAGTTTCATAATAACTAAATTATACCAATAGTTATTGTATCATTACTATTTTGATTTGAAAGAAAATAGACAAACGAAAATAAAAGTATTTTGACACTCAGCATGCCAAAAGAAAAACACTTTATTATGCAAATCATGAAATTTTTTATCTTATTACTCATTCCAATACGATTATGTGATCGAAATTTGTTAGTCGTAGTCGTTGGTAGAACAAAATCTGTACTAGAGTAAGAGAGCGAAATCAAAAAAGAAAAGCTTTTTTTAAAAATATAATGTCAAAAGTGTTGGCCAATTGGAGCAGGAAAGTAGGAAGGGTGATAAAAATATACATAGTGTATAAAAGATTTAAATTTTTTCTTTATATTTTTATTAAATATAAATATAAAGAGCTAAAAAAGAATTCCACACTATAATTAATATGTAAAAATAGACA